TGTGGCTATACACAGTGCCAAAAAAATGTATACACATTTTAAGAAAGGAAAACTATTAAAATTGTAATACTTATTATACACCGATAACAGAAGATGAATAATCACGTTTGACTTCTGCAATTACAAGAGATGTTCAAAGTGGTTACCATCAGCATCCAGACATTTCTGATTACAGCAAACGACTTGCTTGAGCAACATTGACCAAAATGTCCACTTGTATACGTATTTTTGGCACTCGGTATTATATATAATATATATTTTTATCATTGTTGCCATGGACTGGTGCCTTGCGATGCTCGAGGCACTATGCTCATCTCATTTCGTCCTCCCAGTGACACTGAGAGTGAGGCAGTGGGGTCCCCACATTACAGAAAGGGCATCAAGGTTCAGAGAGCAAGTGGGCAGGTGCCCAGAAAGAAGTGAAGAGCCGGGGCTCGCTCCAAATCTTCTCACTGCACCTGGGCCTGGAAAGACTGACGTGTCCACGCCTCCGAGTACATGCTTACTGGCTGTCTTCTGGAACCTTACAGGCAGTTCTTCCTTGTCACCCAGACATCTCATCCTGCAGTCAGAATCTGTACCATTTTCTATCTTCAGGAGCAAAAGTCAGGAGAGTCATAATGATGAAAATTAGAGTAATAACAGAGTAGTGATTCACTCTAGCAGGGGCCTCGGGCGCCTTTGGCATTGCGGAAAATGTTTTGTGTCTTGATGCAGGTGATAGTGACATGGGTGCGTCCACTTTAAAATGCATGGAGCCAGGCTGGCCAGGTGGCACATTGGTTGAGAGTTGGCTTGGGACGTCAGCTCTGAGCAGCAGGGCCCCGGTTTGGATCCCACATGCGGGCCAGTGACACTGCGCCCTCTGCAGCTGAGATGGTGAACAACAGCTCGACCTGGAGCTGGACTGCCGTGAGTTGCCAGTGACGGCGTAGGCTGCAGTGGGGCTGGCCGGCAGCAGGAGTGCGCTTTCGTGCACCGTCGTGAGTGGCCGTCCACTGGCCAGCGAGCGACTGCCTCACCCGGGAAGAGCACAATGATAATACCAACATGGGCCAGTGAAGCAATGTCCTCCACAACTAGACTGAAGAACAAAAAAAAGGGCAGCAACTTGTCTGTTCCCCTTCCCCGATTCTCCAATGCTGTTCCCCTCCCCCAACTCCCCAATAAAATCTCTAAATAAATAAATAAAGTGCATGGAGCCACACCTGAATGGTCTATACACTCCTGTGTGCTTGTTATACTTCAGTCAAAGACGCAAAATCAAAGGTGTCTGAACCCAATAACTATAGATTCATGCCAGCAAAGGCCTGAATGCCCAATAATGGGCAGTAATGTCTATAATAGCAATAATAATATAAATTATGATACATCCATAAAGTATAAGACACAGGCTCAGAAGTCACTCAGTGCAGCATAGTATTGTATCCTGGCTGGACCTCGGACCAGAAAACACATTCAGGGAAACCCAGTGAAATCCAGGCAGAGTTTGATTCATGTAATGCTCCGGAGTTTGTTTTTTCTTTTCTTTTTTTTTTTTTTTTAAAGGTCAGTGCTAGCTTTTATTATTATTATTATTTTTTTTTTTTAGCTGAGCCATCCCGCCACCTGTTGGCAGCTCACGGCTGCTCAGCTCGGGCTGACTCGAACCGCTGTTGCTCAGAGCTCAAACTCTTGAGCGAGCTCTTAACCAACTGAGCCACAGGAGTTTGTTTTTTCATTTTGACAAGATGTCAGCCTTAGGGAAAGCTGGGTGAAGAGGGCACGTGGGGGGACCCTTTGTGCTAGTTATGCCACTTTTCTGTCAAGCTAAAATTATTGCAACATAAAGGTCTTTTGTTTTTTTTAAGTCAGATGTTAGAAGAATTTGTGATGGCATGGGTAAATAGCATTTCCCTCGCAATATAACATTAATCAAGAAGAATTTAAAGGCAGGTGATCAAACAGGATATTGGACCTGAATGTGTAAAAAGGGTTGGGTATGTGTACACGCCTGGAAAAAATGAGGTGCTGGGGTTGTGGATGATTGTCTGTGATTTCCAGATTTTCTAAAATGAAATTGTGTTCCTTTCAGAGTCATGAAGAAGAAGAATATGTATACGTACATGGATAGATGTAGTCGATTCTCGTTATTTACAGCAAATACTGAATTAGTGACTATGGAACCACTGCTCTTGGGGAAGTAGAGTTAGATTTCTGCCAGCCCTCTGGTTGCAACATTTTAGTCAGGCAGGGGGCACATACCTTGTGTTAGTATGTTTCTGTTTAAAGACACCTTATTTAATATACACTGTTGCTTCATTAACATTGAACTCAGGCCAACAGCGCTGTAACTCACACCTGAACTGAATAAAGCTTCTCTGACACATGTATCTTCTTTATAAGGCACTTAACAGCCTTCCCGGGCTTCGGAACCCTAGACAACACTTCAGCTCTGCGCTTAGGGGACACTTCAATCACCCACAAGAAGACTATAATGCAAAAAGCATGACACTAAATATGGAAAAGGACCCAGTTTTACAGACTGAGCTAAAAGGCAGCACAAGGCCCGGTTCCAAACCTCAGTTGTTGTTTTTTTAAAGATTTTTATTGGGGAATTGGGGGGATGGCAACAGCGCTGGGGAATTGGGGGAAGGGGAACAGACAAGTTGCTGTCCTTTTGTTCTTCAGTCTAGTTGTGGAGGACGTTGCTTCACTGGCCCAAGTTGGCACCATCATTGCGCTCTTCCCGGGCGAGACAGATCGGTCGCCGGCTTCTGGACGGCCGCTCACTGCAGCTGCTGGCCGCTCACACTGGCTGCTGGCTACATACGGTAGCCCATGGCAACCCACTGCCACAGGGGCTGCAGCCTACGCCGTCGCCGGCGACTCATGGCAGCCCAGCTCCAGGTTGAGCTGTTGTTCAGCATCTTAGCTGTGGAGGGCAGTGTCACTGGCCCTCATATGTGGGATCCGAACCGGGGCCCTCTGGTGTCCCAAGCCACTTCTTAACCATCGCGCCACTCGGCCAGCCTCAAACCTCAGTTTTTTAACTGAGATCATAACTCAGATCTTTCACCGCTCCACGCGTGTCCATGAATGACTTTGAACCCCACCCTCCACTGTTGATTTGGGGGACACAAATAAATGTTAGTGGCTGGATGAATTCACAGATTCAGACTCCATGGATGAGTGCAGACTCTACATAACCCCGCAGCCTGGTGCCCATGTGGACCACACCCAGTGCAGACATCTCAGATGCGGGGCGCCCTGGCCTGGCTGTGGTTCTGTGTCCCCACCAGGTCCCAGAAGCCCCAGTGCTGACCTTCAGCAGGGACTGGAGTCCACCAGCCTCCTGGGGCTTTGGCAGGAGCTCTACCTACTCGGTGCCCTATTTCTGTGTGTGTGTGTGTCCCCCAGCCCTCCCTTAAGGTTTCTCAAATGGGTGATCCTTGCCCCCCGGGCACACTGGGCTATGTCTGGAAACATTTGTTGTCATGAGTGGGGTGCTCCTGGCATCAAAGGGTAGGGCCAGGGCTGCTGCTTAGTACCCCACAGTGCCTGGAACAGCCCCGATGTCAGCAGTGCTGAGGGGGAGACCCTTGTTTTAGAGAAAGCTGCCCCCAGTCACCTCCTTCCTGGAACCTCCGTGACATTCAGGCTGGGCCTCCTTGGTGAGCCTCAGGGTAAGAGGTTCCTGCCTGACCTCAGTACCCCCTATTCCCCACTTCTGATGCCACTGCACCCCCACCCCTAGCCTACGGCCACTGAGAAAGGCTCTAACCGAGGAGGGGCAGCCATGGTGTGTCCCTTTGTGTAGGTGGAAAAAAAACCATTGGTTTGTGGAAAGAGCAAATGTTTGCAAAGGAAGAAGGGCCGGCTCTCGGAGGCCACAGAGGACCTTCGGAGCCAGACAGAAACAGCCTTGCTTGCCAGTGGTCCTCACAGCTCAGGAAGTCTGTCCTGCGTTGGCCCAGGGGTTTCTGCTGACCTCCCCAGGGCAAGTCCACAGCAGAATGAGCCCCAAGGACCGGCCTTCCCAAGGACTGGCCTCCCCTAGAATTGGAGGGTGATCTGCTGGTTTTTGAAGTGTAATCTGAGCCAGGAAGCTGCAGGGGTCCCGCGGGAGCGCAGCCCCGGACATCTGTCTGGCCCAGCTGCACATGCAGTCTCCAGCAGGGCTGTAACCTGGAGCCTCCTCGTCCACAAATAGAAGGCCGTTGCCGCAGCCGGACAGGCGGGGTCACCACGCTTCTTCCTCCATGCCTCCCCAGGCAGCGCATTCTTAGGGCAGCTGATGCAGCGTGGAGAGCAGGGTGTAGGCTGGCATTTAGTCCCGGGGTCACCCCAGCAGCTGGACACGGTGGCCCCCAGGGACCCTCATGCTCTTTGCGTTGAGTGTCAGAGAGAGTTGCGGCTCTGTCCAGGGTTGTCCAGGGTTCCGCTTGGAGCAGCTCCAAAGTACGGGAGCCCACCCACCCCCCAGAGTCCAATCACGGGGACTTCCTTTTTTTCCTGTTGACCTCCTGGCCCTGGGCGGCCAGCCTCAGATCCCGCGCCTTCCTGCACCCATGTACCTGTCACCTTTTCCACCCGAGGTTAATTGGTTTGCCCCCGAGTTCATGTTTTCCAGCTCTCCATTTTTCGCCTCGGCACGTGGCTTCCATCAAAGTAAAAAACCAGACATGGAAAAACACCACACATTACATTCAAGGCTCGGTTCCTATTTTTTCTCGTGCTGGCTCATCTGATGGGCTGGACCACGGCTTGGGGTCCCCATGTTCCAAAATGGAATAATACAAATTTCAGAAGAAAACTTGACTTGCTTCCCCACCACCCAAAGAAACAGGGCTGTCTTTCTGAATGGATCAGTCATAAAAAATAAATTGGACTTTCCCCCCAGTTTCTCTAGAGGACATGTGCAATATTTTTGGTGACAGCAAAGTATTTCTCTGTGAAAAGCTGGAGATGGTTAAGTAAAGAATATTTAACCATGCTTTTCTTTTCCTCTTTTTAAACAGAGTAGAGCAGTGCTTCTTGGAAAAACTAAAAAAGGTATGTAGCATTTTATCTTTACTTCATGTGCTTGGAATCTCTTGTTTTTCAGAAAAAGGAACAAACAGCCACAGCATTCACGCGCACATGACACACTGGGAATTGTGTCACCGGGAAAAGAGCTCTGGGCTCAGAGCCAGGAGACCTGAGTTCAGACCTCAGGTCAGCCTCTGAGCAACTGTCACGTGTGGGCGGGCGCCTTTCATCTCTGCCACGGAAATAACATCCTCCTGCTTCCCAAGAATGTCGCAAAGATTACGGAGGCCACAGATACAGAAACACACAGTGCCGCGTCCAAATGGGTCTGGGATGTGTGTGGGACCTGGAACCGTGGTGGATTTGGTCACATGTGCATTTCCAGGGGTTTGCCCATTTCACATAGATTACCTAATTTGTGGGAGCAGTCCTTCACGGCTCCTCCTCTAACCCTTTCCATTTCCAAAAGGCCAGCAGTCATGTCCGCTCTCCCTTCCCACCTCAATTACTGCACCTTCCCTCCTTTATTTCCATCACCCTGACTAAGGGTTTGCCAGCGTTGCCGACCTCTTCAAAGAAACCAGCTTCTGGTTTCATTGACTCTCCTCTCGCTTTTCTAGCCTCCATTTCGTTTTCTCTGCCTCTTTGTCATTTCCTTCCTCCTTCCGGCTCTGGCTTTTGCTTGCTCTTTCCTTTCTGGTTCCTTAAGGTATGAAGTCACTTGGTAGATGGAGACCGTCCTGAACAAAGACGTTTGCAGCTCAGCCCCCTATGCGTGTCCCCTAAGTTGTGTTTCCATTTTCATGCAAGGTGTTTCCTACTTTCCCTTGGGGCTTCTTCTGGGACTTGTCACTTGCCTAAGAGCATGTTACCTAATTTCTACAGTTCTGTGATCCATTTGGGAAGGAAAGGGCATTGGGATGCGTTGCTCAGTCGAGGACGTTGGGTGGCGTGGTGGCTGGAACTGGCTCCCATCCCGGAATTATCTCAGGACCTTTGGGGCTCGCTGGTGAGGTACAGGGAGGGCTGGCTTGAGGGTGGGGGCTCTAAGGAGCATTGTAGGTGCTGACACAAGGGTCTGCAGCGGGCTTCTTCATCATTGTCCTGGAGGCGCACCTCCCTCCAGCTTGTGCTGCTTGGGCCATGTTGCCCCAAGGGTTCCACACTGCCTCATGCAGCCAGCATATGTCGCAGGCAGAACCTGGACCAGGGAAGGAAAGCCAAGCACTCGTCCTGGGCACAGAATTTAGCGGAGGCACCGAAAAACCCATCATGATAAATTGTATCTTAATGTAGAAATATTTCCTAAAAATCAAAATTAATGCCAAAAGAAAGATCACGGTGAAGGTCAAAATTTTAAATAAAGAGGGGCTTGCTTCATCCTCACCCCAGCCCGATCGGGTATTGTCTGTAACGAAAAACTTGATATTTGATTCAAAACATGGATGTTTTGCATTCATTCTGACTTTGTATAAAAACATTGCATGAAAGTCTGAGTTATCGCAATGGCTGAGCTACGGGCGCCCCTTAGATTTTGCGCCCAAGGGGAGTGCCTCACCCCAGCCCAGCCTGACAGTAACGGTGACAATGGAGAGGATGATGATCTGAAAGGTGACCAGTTCCCTGGGGTTACCAGGGGCCGCAGTCTCTGGTCCTTCCATGCTCTCTATCAGTAAAGCACAGATATGTACCCATTTCCCTGATGGGGGGACCAAGGCTCGGTTGTCTGAGGTCTGACAGCAAGCGGGTGGTCCCGTGGGACACACGTGTGTGAGGATGTCAGCAAGGCTACCTCTGCCAGGCTCAGCTGCCAGCTGCCTGCTGTGGGGTTAGGTTCCTGCATGCAGCACCTGCCAGCGGGGCAGGGGGGAGGGGGAAACACGACACGAAGCCCCAGCCTGTGACATCAGTCAGCTCCAGGCGGGCAGTGCCTCTGAGCAAGCACTGAGCCCTGTGGCCCTGCTCCCAGGCAGCCCAGCTGTGTCTAATGCTGACCACTGTCCCCTCTCTTCCTCCCTCCCACCTTGCTCCCCTGTCTGCAGACCCCACTCAGTGACTCAGCAGATGCTCACTGGGTGCCTACTGTGAGCCAGGCCGGCTGCTCTGTCTCACTTCGTCCTCATAGAAGCCCCGGGGAGCAGGTTCCCTTGTCCCCATCTTACAGGTAGGAAACTGAGGCTTGGCAGCAGAGAGACTCGGCACGGCCCAGTGGCTGGTGGACAGCAGGGCTAGGATTTGAGCTTGTTTCTGTCTGACCGTAAAGCACCTAGTGGTTTGTATTAGCCAGGTTCTCCGGAAAAACAGAAGGAATAAAAGGTGTATATATACAGAGAGATTTCTTTTAAGGAATTGATCATGGAAGCTGCAGGGTGGAGAACCAGGAGAGCCAGTGGTACAGGTTAAGTCCAAAGGCCATTGCTGGAAAATACCCCCTTGCTTGGGGCGTGGGAATTCTGTTCTATTCAGACCTTCAGCTGATTGGACGAGACCCACCAGCATTATGGAGGGCAATCTGCTTTACTCAAGGTCCATTAGTTGAGTTGTCAATCTCATTCAGAAGCATCCTCACAGAAGCATCCAGAATAATGTTTGACTACATATAAGGCATTCTGCAGCCCAGCCAAGTGGACATGTAAAAGTAATCATCACCTGGCCTCCCAGGCTGCATGGCCACTTGCCCATCTGGACGGTCCCCTCAGAGCCCCCCAGGCCCATGGTCACTTTCCATAGGAAAGTTAGAACAGGGACAGCAACTGGGTTTTACCAGGCCACCACCATCCAGATGTCAGCCAGGTTGTGTTCTTACCTAGAAGCTCGAATGGGAGAGAACCTCTTCCCAAGCTCCCTCATGTCGGGGTGTTGGCAGAGTTTGTCTCCTTGTGGTTTTGGGACTGGACACCTGGGTGCTTGCCACCGGGCAGCTGAGGCTGCCATCAGCTGCTTGGGGTCTCCCACAGCACCTTGCCAGGTGGGCTTCTTAAACACAGTTGCTTACTTCATGAAGCCAGTTGGCAGAGGTCGCATTGCCAAATTCTGTGCATCCTCCCCACTTCCTGTGGCTGGTTTCAGCCCAAACTGTCCTTCCTAAGTCCTACAGAAGCTCCGAGCCGTGGGCACCCAGCCCCAAGGCAACTACGGTTCCCTTTTCCAGTGAGTGCCCCAGGAGACCTCAGCACTTCCAGGGCAGCCCAGGGCTTAGCAGTGTTTCTGCATTAACAAGAAGAGGCATAATGGAATTTGGATGGACGAGAAAAGGGGATGTCAGTATGAGCAGAAGCAGACACTCGGTCTTATTGTTAGAAATTCTGTACAGGTCATCAAAACCTCGTCTCAGGGCAGAGGCTGCTGGGCAGCCGAGATGAACTCACTCTCACAAGGGATTTTCTGCAAATCCAGAACCGGCCCCAGAGGCCCTGCTGCCCCTGCTGCCGCCGGTGGACACCCGGGCATTGAGGCACTCTCTCCCAGTTGCTGGAGCTCAGTGCACCAGGATCCTCAGCAAAGGTAGCTGCGGTTGTCCTTCTTCGGAAGGTTCCACAGGAGACCCCAAATGCCACGCTTACCACCACATTGCTGATGTGGATCCTTCACTCCCTGTTCATATCCCCAGATGAGGACACAGCCCAGCGACACCCTAGTGGTGACCTTGCAAAGCCCTCTCTGCCCGCACTGGCCAAAACCTACATCCTGAACCTAGCTATTTGCTTCTCTGCTCCTCCCACCCCCAAATTTGAGGGTCAAGTTTCCAGCCAGACACACATCAGTCAGCACCCAAGTTGGGGTTCCATCCACTTGTCCTCATGCTCTGCTATAGGGTGGGGCACCCTGACATCTGACCCCAACCCCTCCTGTCCACACCTGGTGGGCACCTGGGGCCCCTCAGGAGTTGGGACCTGCCTGGACACTGAGGATTAATGGTACAAGCCAGGAACAGGTGACCGGGAACCACCTTGGTAGCCTCGGCACACCCAGGCTTCTTGCTTGAACCCAGTGGGATCAAAACAAGGGACACATCTCACAGGAAACCGGCCCTTGGACTGGAACATTCCTCAGATTAGAGTTTTCCCCCTCGGCACTGCTGACACTGGGGCAGGGCCATTCTCTGTGGGGGGCCATCCTGGGCACTGTGGGGTGTTGAGCAGCATCACTGGCCCCATTCACTCAATCCCAGGAGCACCCCCAGTAGTGACAACTATAGATGTCCCCAGACATCACCTGGTGTCTCCTGGGGACAGAACCACCCTGGGTGAGAACCCTCTAAAAATTGTCAATTAATCCCATTGTTGGCTGGGTTATTTTTTGTTTTGTTTTTAATTTTTAACATGAGAAATAGCCCTACGTGCAACTAGCCCTTAGGAAGAAGCCTCTCTGGATCTGTTTTATTCCAGGACTTTCCAACAGCACCACAGGTGGGGGTGGGTGTCCCTACAGATGCCACAGACACTCAGTAACCACTGATCCTTCTGTAGTGTGGTTTTGAGCCTCCAGTACACTGGGTGGGTGTTGACCAGCGACCCAGAGCCCAGAGCAAAAAGCTGCAGGCGATGACCCAGGTCCAGGTCCGTCCTCAAGAGTGTGTGTGCCCCAGGCAGGCCGTCAGGTATGGCCAGGTGCTCTGCCCTGGGCTGCCTGGTCCTGGAGGCTCTTGTCTTGGAAGAGAGATTAGCCTTGGGGACAGGGTCAACACCTGCAGTGCTGCCCCCAGTCCCTTCCATCCAGGTGGTCCTTTGGTTCCCAGCTTCCTGGCCTTAGTCCCCAGAGACATCCATGTCTGAAACCCTGGGACCTATGAATGTGTCATCTCACATAGTAAAAGGGACTTTGAAGGTGGGATTAAGTCAAGGCCCCTGAGATGGGGATGACCCTGGATTACAGGGAGGCCCAGTGTCATCACAGGGTCCTCATAAGAGGGAGGCAGGAGGCTCAGAGTCAGAGAGATGGAAGAGGCTGCACTGCTGGCTGTGACGATGGAGGAGGGGCCAGGAGCCAGGGATCCCATGCCTTTAGAAGCTGGAAGATGCCGG